GTAATATAAACTCTTTATTTTAAAAAGGGCTTAATTCCACTTAAAAAACATTGAAAACGATTAAAAAATGAAAAAATTATTCAGAATTGTAATCATTATAACGATCAACTTGATTTTTTTGCAAAATGGACTTAAGCCACTTTCAAAATAAACGGCTCATTAATAAATAATATCTACATTAATCATAATAATTCTACGAAATCATAAAATTAGTTTCTAGACAGTCTCTTTTTAAGAATTGTATATGATAATCTATAATAAATTAACATTAGACGAAGGACTTCATACCATCGAATTTTTAAAAATCTTTCTTCTACCTTTCCAGATTAAAAAGGACCTTCCAACGTTTTTAAATTAGTCTCAGTCTTTATTAAAAAACAGTGTCACCTCAAAAGTACTTAGAAACGACTTTTAAGAAGGATATGCGCTGGAACTTTTCCCGCAGTTTCAGAATGTAAAGTAAGTTCAAAGATTGTCTACATAGTAACATACTAAATTTATTTTCCACAGTATTCAAATTCCTGCTTCGACGATCTCGCGATGGAACCGACCAATGAATAAACTATTTTATCGTTAATAAAATTCTCGTGACACAATTACGCTGACGTACTGGCACTAAATTACTTATCGACACATCGGTTCACAGTACATGTATTTCGACTATCTTTCGAGAACATTTTGAGGGGTTGATGTCTAAAAATTAAATTACAATATGTAAGATGATTGATGTCGACTGAAAATGTTTAATAGCGTAAGTAGTTAAATAATAGTATACTGTAAAAATTGTAATACCAAATGACTAATCATTTATCTTTGCTGGGAAAGAATAAATAACGTATCGAAAACTCAGAAGTCAATCAGTGTATGTCACTTTTCCGTTTGATCTAGTTCGAAAGAGTTTTTATCGCCAAAGCTTTGAGTTGATAAAGCAATTTTAGCATTACATGCAGAACTAAGTCTAAATACAAAGATGATAACATAATTGTATTATTAATCGAAATTTGTAAACACTAAATGTAATACGAATGGTCAAATGACCTGTTTTAAAATTTGATTTAACACTAGAACTACCGAGCATTTATTACGATTAATAGGTAATCCCTAAAAAGAGTATAATAATACATTATTTTCAGTTTCTTCAGACATTCATTGTATTATTCAAGTTAAACTATTTATTGTCAAAATCATTTTGAATATTCTACCTGGCACGGTAGTTCTAGTGTTAAAATTCTTCGTTTTTCTTCGTTCATTCAACATTAAATCAATTCCTATATTATCCGATTAATCAGTTTTTCAATTTTTGTCTTTCCTTTTGTTTCTGTTTCTACTAAGAAAAGTTTATAAAAGTTTAAACGCTGGTACGTTTAGTGTTAATCTCTTGCCTTACATTATCGTGCCGAAAATTTCTAATATGGTTTAACAAACATAAATATCATTGAATTGTGTTAAGTTTAAATGAAACATTATTGTTCTTGTTAGCAATTTGTATGGTTTATTCTAAATCTAGACATAGAAGGAGCATAGAATGTTTTCTTTTACTAGTGCATTATTAACGATAAATACTTCTAACAAATTCACCTACTTAATTCAATCGTAAGGCAAGGGGTAATGTTATTTAGGTGTGTACTGAGACGATTAGACGTGTGCAAGACGTCTTGAGATTTTATACATTATACTTAACAAAGTATGCGTGGGGTTCCAGGAACACGCCATCCCCTTACTTAACCCCTTGCAATACAATAACGTGTCAGACTCGTGGTAAAGATTTTAAACAAAATTTAACAAACATGAATATTACCGAATTACTGTGAATTCAAATGAAATATTATTCTTTTGCTATCAATTACTATACTTTAGACAAAACACTGACACAGAATATACTTAAAATTTTTTATGAATTATTAATAATAAAGTAGTTGTATCGATCATAGTTGAGAAATAAGTTGTAAAGCAAGGTGTTAAGGGTTAAATGTTTAAAGTGAAATGTACCTTACACTGTTCGTGTAAACTCCAAATAACTTCGGATAATTGTTTATTAAAATTAAAAGTATATTTGCTGGTATTGGAGTTTTGAATATGTGGCGACCTTAGCCGCTAGAATTAAATGTACAGAGGATAAAATGTATGAAATGATAGAAAGTGTTCTTGAGAAATGGGGAGTGCTGACTTCCTGACAATTAATTGGAAACTCTGCTTATTGGCAAAAAAGGAAGATGTGTCTTCGGCGACTTTAAAAAATCTTAGAAGTAAACAATTTTCCCACTGGCTAGTGGGATTTTCTTATTGGTAATGGTCTAAGCGTGTAAGTACATTATTTTTGGTCGCGCAAGTGATTGTGCACGTGGCGAAAAGGTCTTAGTGCTGCGTTCGAAACTTCCTGACACGTGTTAGATGACTTTACGAGAAACCATAGCCTGCTCTCCTGGAAGCAATAAACATAAAGTCGCGAGTATAAACAATGAAACAGTCCCTATCGGTGCTGTTGGGATGCATAGAAATTTGAAAAGGCTTTAGATCAGCGCTTTACACTCGGAAGACGACCCTCACTCACCTCTTGATTTCGTACAGTAAAATGATAAAATTTCATATTTAATATTATACTTTGTATAATGCATCAATTTAAGAAATATTGGAATAAAATAGCTTTGTTCCTGAATGTACTTGTGATTTTCCTTCCAGTTAATTTCAAGGAATATCGTCTTCGACTCGTCAAAAAATGTTAAACATTTCTAGTGAAAAACTTTCGAGTGCAAATAAAAAATCAATTATAATTATTAGTATTTAAAACGTGTCTATATTATTATTAAAAGATAGGGAGACGCGGAAAAAGAAATTTTGTTTAGGGAAGCGTAGTAGCATAAAGGTTGGAAACCGCTGCTTTAGATAGACTGTGACTCTTCGTATTATAAATTTTCTTAGATGTATTTTAGAACTTTTGCCAATGGGATCCGTTAAAGAATATTTTGGAAATCTGCTTGAATATGGTTTGAATCTTTGACAACGTAACTTCTGAGTTCTCTATATAAAACACTCAATATTCTCGTGACAGTTCACATGTTAACACGTTGACTGCCACGAGAATTTCTAGCATTCTGAATAGTATATAGAATACTTATTCTTTAATCACAAAGGCAAATGATATTGGAAATAATTATTAATGGTTTAGTATCACGGTAGTCATATTACGCTATGATCTAGCTACATATGTTACGAAATATTTTTATTTTAAATCAAGTGTTTTATTGTAATTGTTCATGAACGTTCAATAGTCAAGCAAAGTTCGTTCGCGCGGGGAGTCCGTATATCAAGATCAATCAAAGATCAACGGTGCCGAGCGGTGGGCTGGTTCGATCCGAGGGGAAATTTCTATCGATGCCTGGCGTTTCATTAAATTTATGGCGCTAATATGGCGGTAACTAATTGCGCCTTAGGGCAACGGATTTACGGTACTAGCACGACGTCGAAACTCATGTATTTTACGAACTACCAACGCCACGCTGCAGTAGAAATTACATCACGACAGCACATGCTCTGCGTAGAGAGCAGCTGGCAGGCTTTCCTACCCCCTTCGGTTGAGTTTTCGACAAAAGTGCACGGAAACGTCGTTATCCACGGCCATTATCGTTGCAACTTCGCGTCTCGACTTCACTTTTCCTCTCCTTTTTGTTTGCGCTTGTTTTTTTCTGTTTTTCTTTTTGTCCTTTCATTTCGACCGAGGCTTGCGACAACGTTCGAGCCGACTTAGACGGACTTCCAGTATCGAAGCGTCAACGAAAAGTCGATGGTTATTCGTATATCTTCTGAGGGAAGATGTATCTTCTGATAATGGACTTAATAGACAATGTTTTTTGTCTTCTAATGTATAGAAATTGCTTTGTTTGAAACTATAAAAACCAAGCAGTTAATAAATAATGGTTTGTTCCCTCTGTTTCTACTTGGCACATATTGTGTTAAAACAATTCTTACATACGTTATTTTTTAATTGTAAGTGTATAGAAAAAATGTAACGTAATAGCAAACGTAGATTCTTTACATTTGCAATAATTTTGTATACTTCTTTGATTTTTTAGTTTCGAAGTCAAAAATAAGAAAATATAATTCTTCCAAGTACAATTACTTTCCTTATAACTTTTTTCTGATTAGTCAAAAATTACTATACGGTTAACAGGTTTGTAGCAAAAAGAGAAATTATACATTTACTGTAAAGAGTAAATTCTGATGAACGAAAAGTATTTGTTCCTTTGCAGTGACGTGCACTGAATTATATTCGTATTTCACGAATTCAATATAGAATTTTCATTACGAAAGGTCATCTTCATTTCTCCAAACACATAGGAATATAAAAAATTTACATGTATTGCTACTTTAATTACAAGAATCAATGAAGCTTTCAGTTTTTCATTTTTCCACATATTTATCATATCTCTAATATCGAATTTATCATGTCTATGAGAAAAACTTAGCGAATAATTGTCTAATCGTATTCTGTAGTCATTAATTCATCAACACTGACCATGCAAAACGGATGTCTGCAGAAAAAGTACATTTACGATGGTTATGCACTTTACAAGTTCCAACAGCATAATAAAAGAACGTGATTGTAATCACTTAATATTTATTACTTATATGTATTACTTATTCTTAGTATTTATTTACTTATCTGATTAATATGTGTTCTGTTAAATTTATTATTAAAAATCCTATTCTATTTGCATGTGAATTGGCAATTTTTTATTTTAGCTCAGTATCAATTTTTCTCTACTAATCAATTTATTAACATTATTCTTTTCAGATTACCAATAACAGTGTCATATAATTTTTTTCCTTTTACGTGAGATAACGAACCTATTTTATTTGATAGTAGACTTATTTTACTTAAGTCTGAAATATCAGTTCCATTCCACTTGACTGTACAATAACCACTTTTCCTTTGTCCTCAGTATTCTCTTTTTATGTGGCTGACAAAAGAAAGTAGTTAAATAAAGAATGCGTATAAAATGCCAGAAAACCACGGTCATTTTTAAATTAAAACTAAATCTGACATTCTCATACTTGCGTTCAATATTCCCTAACAATTTTGATTATACGATTAAGAAATCGAAAGATACTGCAAAATTATAAGATACAGTAAAATTTGATAACATCAATGAAAATATTCATTAGAAATAAAATTAATGTTCTACGGATAAAACTATATTTATATTGTATTTTTTCAAGTTAAGGTTAAAACCAATTAATTCAATTACTATGTTCTAAGCAACAAGTATACTTTTGCTGCTATCGCGCAAGCAATTTGCTGAAAATTTGAACGACGAATGGAAAGATTATCCGCAAAAAGTCGAATTGTCGAAACGTCAGTACTAATCTCAGCTCAGATAGGATTTAATTATTTATCACGTATTGTGCGCACCTGTTGAATCCCCGGAAATCGCCTCCGAAATGAGTTTCACGCTGTGCTTTTCACAAAGCAGGGTGCGCACAGGAAGGCAAACGCAATACCACCGCCAAGGATCAAAGCGATCATGGCTAAGATTGTCCATGTGTTAGAAGCGGAAGTCATTCGAGTAGACAACAGTCTCTTGCTGGCTGGTAGCTCGACGACTTCGTCTGTATTCAGACCTAACCTCTTGGCCCTGCTGAGCAAGAACCTAAGGCGTCGTGACGCCTTCTCGCAAGACATTCTTGACGTCCGACTCAATGGTTCCTTTACAAAGTCTCCAAACTATTTAGCGATTTCTTTATTCATTGTCACTCGTTTAATTAACCGGCGGAATGCTTCGAGGACTCCATTGTTCTGTCTCAGACACCTTTTGCTAAACGATTCACCGATATTCGGTAGCTTATAGAATCAAACACATTCTAGATTCTTCTGTGATAAATATAGGAATGGCGTAATAAGTTTTTCTTCGGAAAAACAAGTTGCCTTCCGGCATCATGCGGATCGTTAATTATGTCGTTTCTCGTTTTAATTAATTCAACATATCAAAACTTTGCTCTTATCCTTCATTAATCGCTTTATGGCACTACTGAAGAGCTGTCGCTGCAGCTGACATCCTTTGTTTCCTTTAAGGTACTGTGAACAAAACAAAGAGAGCTTTTGTTGAGTAAAAGTTTTTAAAGATCACATCGGAAATCATTTTTAGTTTCACGTGCGGTTGTATTTTGTCTTGAAAGATATTTCATTTGTCTGTTTTTATCTTTCGAAAAGGAATTTTTTATGAGATTTACTGTAAAGGAAATTAGTTGATTTTGTTAGAACCATTTAGTGTGTGAGTTAATAGGGAGAGCTTTGTATTAAGAACAGATTGAATCGCGTGTTATTAAATTTGTTTCGAAATAATTATTTCAATGGAACCGTTTATGGTGAGTGACCTAGATGATCTGAGTACATTTAAAATTGAAAAATAAAAATGTAAGTACTTTATTAAATAGTTTTATGTAAATAGACAAAGTTTCAGAAAGTAAGGAACGCACTTGTATCAAGTATGTATTATCTAGGTACATGACTTTTTCATGTATCTCTATTTATTTCCAAGATAACGTTCAATATTATAATATTAAAGAAATACACATTGTGCATTTATGCAACATATGAATATCTTAAACAGACCTTCAACTACAAGAAAAATTAATTTTATATCTTGTATCTTTCTTGTTATTCAATTTAAAAAATTTGTTATTTTTATACAATATTCATTTTCATATTTTGTCATCATTAATCAGCTCATTTGTTTTGTAAACGATATTTTCTTACTTAAAAAATATTACAGAAAAAAACAACATATTAGGAGATTTCTACATTGCAGAATATTTAATTTATACCAAATCTATAGTACAAAGAACTATTAGTTATTTTAAAAAAGATAGTTACTTGTGAAGTCTTATAAATAATAATCGATGCCGAAAAAAGTTTTTTATTTTATGAAATCTCACAAACTCGTACGAAATAATTAATTGAACAGCTCTTTATTGTAGATCTTTTGATGATCGATCAAGCTGATCGTCAAGACTATACGTTTAATCAGCGCTCAATGTTCTTTCAGTGATCTCTACCTCTTTTCCGATTAGATCCCTCATCGACAAGTTAATTACGTAAGTTAATTATGGGAAGTTTTCAGAGTAGCTTCAAACGCCTACAATCCTCTAGAACGTGGCCTGTGATCGAAACGTGTTCGAAGGAGAATAGAGGGAAGGAAAATTAGGGAGAATAAAGAGAATTACTGTCCCATCAATTCACATTTCCTTTCAAACTAGGTCGTACGGTTTCGTTAAACGCAATGCACGTGGAATCTTGTTTAAATTTTTCTGTTCATCGAATCTCCCGAAGTGTATTACCGTATCAAAATTGGCAATCAATTTTTATTGTAATTACACAGAAACTATATACAAAATCGACGATCAATATTTATTGTAATTACAAAGAAATTATACACAAAGTTAACGGTCAATTTTTATTTTAATTACAGAGAAAACATATGCAAACATAATGTAAGAAATTAAATATAGTTAATACGTGTTCTAAAATACCATTGCTGTTTGGAATAATGTTCCTTGGATTATGTAATTTTTAGGATATTTACTTTCATAATTCATGATTTCATTATAAAATGTTAAAATATAAATTATTTGGTTGCAATTAAAGTGCTACCAATGCAGAAACAAAATTAGAAAGATTAATCAATAAAGTGCTAATCAATTTTATCACAAGTAACGCAATTGGTTTTCCTTAACTACATTAGTAATTCATAATACATGAGATGACGATATCGTGTTACGTATATGACTTCTTTACTGAATAATTCGGTATTTATAGTTTGCGTGTTCGTATGTCGAAGTATATTAATTTCCACTCATGTTACTGACACAAACACCTTCACATGTATTGTTATCAATTTTAATAAAACTGTTATTAGTTGACTGCATAAAAATATAAATAAAAGTAATTAACGAAATACACGTATCCATAGACATATTGTTTTCATAATATAAATCTGCATTTTTTAACCATTTAGCGACGCAAAAAGTATGAGAAAATTGTTATTTAAAAATGCTTGAATAAAGGCTTTTACAACATATGCGATTAATTAGTTCCAGGATACATGAAAAGAATAACAATATTTATAATTAATGTTACTCTTATAATTATAATTAATAAAACAAATAAATCTATCTGTTAATACAAGCTAGGCTAATTATACATTGCAAAAATAATATGATATTGCTTTTGATCTCTTGTCAGTGGAGACAAAGGATACTTCAGATTATAAAATACATGCATAATACGTCCTATTGTATGTTTCCCGCGCAATTTCCTTTAATTATGATTGGTCTGCGCACTCTATGAATTTATTGTAATTCCGATAATCTATAATTCAGTGTAATAAAAGATTTAATATAATTCAAAGAGGCTTTTGTTTCAATTTAGTCATAATAAGATCTTTAGGATTAAAATTTGATATAATTTCAGTTTCTGCAAATTAATGTATATTTGCATAAAAATCAATACTATAGATATCATCTCTTCATAAAGCATATTTTATATGCTATTTATTATTTATTGTTAATTATCTGAGGTTAAATATTTCGTAAGAAATTTAAAATATGAAAAATTGTATCGATAAATGTTTTTTTAGTTCTAGGGGAGGCTTTAAACAAGGTGTTCACACAATTAATAACTAACGTGTTTTTCGTAAATGAAATAAATGATGAATGTACCAGAAAAATGGAAGGAGAAAAAAAGAATTTTACTGTTTATAACGCATGTGATTTTTTAATTCATTTTTCATAGAATTGTTATAAAATATCGTATCTTTCATTTTTTTTAATGGAATGCTATCTATTTTTCATTGTATACAAACGCAGGTCACGAAAACAAATACAGAAAAAACTAAAAAACCATTATTCAAATATCTCATACGATTATATTTCTTAATTTCTGGCAAACCATTAACTTTTGAATTAAGTTTATACAATAATACATAAATTTATGGAATTAAAAAATGCATTCTGGAAATTAATTGTAGCACCTAACAATATATACCTTATACCACCATATATTGAAGTATTTTCTTCTGTCTGTACTCCCAAGTGAAACTTAATTAAATATCGATTAACGAAGCTCTCACGTAAAATTTAATTTTAATAATAAAAACATCAAGTATCGTGCTTTATTGACCAAGCAAATACCATTAAATTAAATTAAAAGAACACAAGTCAAAAGTTTGTTTCAATTTAGCGAGCTATTACATCATTGCATTGAAATTGTATAAAAAATCGGTAGAAAGAATTGTTCCTTGTAAGATTTTGAATGAACTATAGAACTTCGGTTGAAACGCGAAAAAACGATGAAGGTAGACAGAAAGTTCTTCCATGGCGGAAAATTTAAGTACACGGAGCCGTTCAGTTTGATTCTTAATGCCAACAACTGGCCCCGCTGGAAATTGCTTAACACGTCGAGCATTACGAACGTCTACTCCAGAAAATAAAAAGCACGGCTTGGAAGGTTTCGCGAGCTATGGTTGTTTCATTCGTGCGCGGATCGCAATATGAAAAATGTAATTGGAAAAGGACATGATTCTTTTGAATCTTTTCTTGAGAACCTGCCATGTCCAATTTACCGACCTAACGAATACCACAGATTACATTATGATGAATGATGCGTAATACACGTATATTATTTCATTTCGAATACTCTATTTATCCAGAGAAGTGCACCATTCAAGTTAATGATAGATAACAGGCTTATCTTTCTGATTTGATATATAGTGGGCTCATATTACTTAGCTGTCTATGACATTCCTATCACACTTGTATGACCCATACAGTTAACTACGAATTAGTTAACTATTCTGAACCAGTTTCATTCTGTTTGATTGACCTAGAACAGTACTATTCTGCTTCTCTAGCCGGGAATAATTCCATTTTATTGAACCAACGTGAACGCTTCGTTTCTCCATGACTGGCTTAGCACGTTTCTATATCACTTAGCATTCAAATAGCAGGCTTATTACATTCACTCGATCATCGTATGTTTCTTAACTACTTTTTAACCGCTTATACTATGATTACTTTCATAACTTTGCCAGAACTACTTTATCCTTAATGATTAAGTAGAAGAAGAAACGAATTTAATGATTGTTCTGTGTATACGTTTACTCTAAGGGTTAAGGATTAAAAATAGACAAGTAGTATTCCATTTATATAAAGAATAAATAAAGAATATTCAGATTTGTCGAGTTCGGTAGAAAATTTTCATGGGGAGTCTGACCCGGTATTATACAAGAAAAGGGTTAACTATTTGTGTTTGGTTTAGCTCTGGATTCAATTTTAGTTTATTGTACTTTGATTGTTGTATCGATGTACTGAAGTGGACACTGATGTTTGAACTTATTGTTGAAACAACTTTTAATAATTTCAATTAAAAAGAAACTTTTCGAGTACTGACTTCAACCATTTATTGGTGAATTTTTGTACCAGTTATAAAATATTTCAATAATGGGAGTTGAAGAAACTTTTTGTTTCAATTTTTTGTGTGTGTTTCACAGATATTGATTTTCAAAGTTTTTTGTAATACTTTCGTATAAAACATTTCAATAATTGAAATTGAAAAAATTTTTTGTTCCAATCTTTTGCTCGTATTCCAGAAATATTGATTTTAACAGTTTTTTTTTCATATTTTCGATACAGAATCTATTAGGTTGCTTCATATGAAATGTGGGTTTTTCTTTACATGTGAACGTTTGTCTCCCTGTTTTCGTTAGGCTTTTGTTTTTGGTATAACCTTGTTTATAGTGGTACTGTCCATTGCCAGAGTCACATTTCAACAAAGAAAATTTTCTCAAAAATGTTCCCTTTTGTTATTTGTTTAAAATTTTATACCGATATGAATTCAACCGATATTCGTGTAATTTTTTTATACGAGTATAAACTTGGTAATAATGCTGTAAAAGCTGCACGCAATATAAACCAGGCGTTTGGGGAGAATACTGTTAACGATCGAAAAGTGCAGCGTTGGTTTGAAAATTTTCAGTCTGGTGATTTTTCCCTACAAAATGAACCGCGTGGAAGACCCAAAACGTCTGTGAAAAATGATGCTCTGATAGCATTGGTGGAAACGAATCCAACTCCACAAGGGAACTTGCTACCAGAATGAAAGTTGATCATACAACAATATTGCGAAACCTTTCAAAAATTGGCAAGGTGAAAAAAATAGATAAGTGGGTACCGCACGAACTAACCGAGCGAAATAAGCTGAATCGGTTGAACGTATGCTCATCATTACTAACCCGATTTCATCGAGTGCCATTTTTCGATCGGATTATTACTTGTGATGAAAAATGAGTTCTTTACGACAATAGGAAAAGGTGTGCTCGGTGGCTTGATAAGAATGAGGATTGTGCTCATACTCCAAAGCCATCACTTCATCCACGGAAAATTTTAATAACAGTTTGGTGGAATGTGACTGGAGTAATTCACTACTTATTCCTTCGAACTAGGGAGATAATTACAGCCGAAAAATTAAAAATTATACGCCCATCACTTGTTAATCGGCATGGCCCAATACTTCTCCACGATAACGCTCGGCCGCATAAGTCGTACAAAACAATTGCGGAATTAAATGAATTAACATATGAAATTTTGCAGCATCCAGCTTATTCACCGGATCTTTCGCCAACCGACTTTCATTTTTTATGAAAGATTCTAAAGATCAGAATTTCTTTAAGACAGGCATTTATGCATTAAAATCTCGTTGGAAAAAGTGTATTAAAGCAAATGGAGCATATCTGAATTAAATAAACAGCTTTTGAAAAAAGATATGCAGTTTTATATGTTCACTTAAAAATCCGACATTTCATACGCACCAACCTAATATAACTGTTCCTAAATGCGAAGACATAATTTTCATTGTTTATTAGAACAATTTTTAAATTATCTTCAAACTTTTATAAATAACATATTCAATTCTATATATTTTTTTATATTATTATGTTTGTTGAGCGAATAATATCTTCCACCAGATTTCATTAATGTAAAATATGAAAAAATAATTTGGACAAATGTTATTCACCTTTTTAACAAACTGTCCAACAGCACGGAAAAAAGTATAATATTTCATTTAAAAAAATATGGGTGACTTCGTTTTCTGAGGAACACATGTAACAATAATATTTCGTGTATGAACAAAAAGTTCCTTGGATTATAAAAAATACATAAGAAATGTTTACGCTGCCACCAGTGGTTTTCTGTTAAACAATTTGTAACAATTTGACGTCTCATTTTGTGTACATTTGTCAACGTCGATATATTATATTTTCAAATGGACTTGAAAATTGAGTGGTGGTGAGTCATTATCCAGACCAGACCTGTTGTCGAGCAATAACTGATGTCCATGTTCAATTTTACAATATTTGTTATATGTGCAGAGATGTTTATTTAAAAGAAGTAAGTCAAAGTTCAGTGCAAGAGTTAACAACTGCTATTAGTATTCATACAACATAATGTTTCAATGTAAGATGTTCAATATAATCAATTTTAATTTAATAATGAAAATAGTTAATCCATTGTAAAATAAGTAACTTGAAAATTTGATTTTTTCAAGAATACTTTCACAAACAAATTTTCATTGGCTCTCACGATTTTACACATAGAATCACGTCCTCCACGGTTCTACTAATTGCGGGACGCTCTGCATTATAATGCTGGATCCAGATTAACACTTTGATCGTTCAGTCGGGACTCATCCAATTACTTATACAATCAAAGAAATTTTCCTAATGAAACAGAAATTGAAAAGTCAAAAAACAAAATTCGAATTGCTTGATATCTCACTGAAGAAATTAATTTTTAAATCTATACAAGAAAGAATATGATCCAAAGTCAGGTGGCACAGCAATCAAGTATTAAAGAGTACTTACAAATACTAAAACTATTGTTATAGATACTTATTTCATTTCTATTAAATGTAAGTATATTTATAAAATAACGTCTTTTAAATCAAATATAGATTTTCCAAGTATTATCTTTCATATTCGATTCGTCTTAAACAATCCTTCAGACACGTCCATTCGTTTTCACGGAAATAAAAATAGAAAAATGTTACTTCTAAAATTTGAACATTTGAATTAGTTAATTTTAGTATTCTAGTATCATGAGAAATGTCCACGGCCACTTTTTGAACACCATAACTCAGAGGCAGAAAATGTCACCGGTCTCCAAGTTTTCGCAATTCATCGCGCTTTTTACTCGCGAGGCTTACACGCGAATTTCTCGAGTTGCCTAACTCATTCTTCGGATGATTACGCCCCGCACTTACACGAAACCCCTTTTACGTGCACTCCACCTTTTCTGAATTACGACAACCCCGCGTAATCACATCAGAGGGATTCGTTATCGCTTCTTGATCAAGCTCTCGTACAAATTACTCGGCGTATAATTAATTTCCAAAATCCCTAGTGGGAGCACGTCTAAAAAATTTGTTGAACAGAAAAAAATTAGTTTAAATTATCATTTTATATTAAATCCTATCCAACGTTCAATTTATACGTTATACATTGTAAACGCTATTACCAAATCGTTTACTGAAGTTTAAGCGGGACAAAAAGCACCTTTGTCATTTAAAGAAATATTTTATTTTTATATGATTCCTTTTTTCCCTGAACCACATAAATTTGAAACAAATCTAAGTCGACTTTAATGCAGTTTCCCTCTCGAAATTCACGCAAAGATTTCTTGAGGAACTTGGATCATTCTTTTGATGATTGCATTCCCTGCTTACACGAAACTCCTTTTACCCACCCTCGTCCCTCTTGCCGTTTATCCGACGTGATTCTTAATTGTCTCGGTGGTTGCATAATTCGAGCACCACGGTAAAGGTTTCGCGAATCCGAACGAAATTATTTCATAATCCCATTAGTATCAAAGCTGAAGAAATTAATGGTATTTCGCATGAGCAGAATTTTACATAAATGCGGGACTTCGTAGTTTTAAATTCCGTTTCAGAGTTAAAGTAAATTGTATTTGCGGTCGGAAATTGTATTCACAGTAAAATGAACATACACCTTGTAATGAACGTTTAGTGCTTCCAAAATTATTCCTGAACACAGCCCATTACAGAAAGAAACGGTCCTTCCCCAAAATTCTGTTTACTATAACGAAATGATTTCAGGGAAATTGTAACTTTTATTATTGTTACTTTTAGAGAATCTTTAGCTTGATTTGGAAAAATTCTTAAGACAATAATTAGCAGAGAATAGGTCACATAAACCATCGTCAGTATACGGCCACGCTGTCACAAAACTTCATTTCTCAATCGTGCACAGTGTTTCAATTACCGGCAGAATAGAAGTAGGGAACTCACTTCATTTATCAAATCACATAATTTCAATGTTACTCATTTTTCAAGGATGAGATCAGTTTCTAGAGACACCCAAATATATGACACATTTTTCAAAAATCTGTTTACGCTACTTTTCAAGATATTAGCACAACGAGAAAATCATGGGCAAAGGCACACGTGAATCCTTTTTCCTTTTCTGGTATAAGTAAATCGGATGGAGCTTGTGTTAACCACGTGCTGATGATCTCGACGCTGAAACGCTGTATACCGCGTTCTCGACGGACGTCGCGACGCTTACTAACTGCGGGGCCGACTACCAGCGTCGCTTTATGGGTTGCAGCTTCCCTTCGACCTCCCTGTACCTATGCTTCCCACCTGCAAGTTTCCCCCCACCGTAGCTAAAACGCAGCATCCAGAGCTCAGGACTTGAATTCGAAATTCTATGGGATTAAAATCAGGCAAATAATGGAACACGACGCGAATAATACTGGGATATTGGTTTTCTTGAAACTTTGAGCCCCAGAATGATCTAAATTCGAAAACGATGTTTACATCAACGAAAACTTGGGTTTTAAACATTTTAAACCATTTTTCATTTTCTTTCTTCTACATTTGTTTTTCGTTCGTTTCTTGTTCGTCTAATTGGGAAATTGTTTAATTTGCCGTTGAATTTCTTTCAGTACGTTAAGTTAACCCTTTGCACTCGTATGTCATGCTGGAAATAACAATACAAATTTTTTATAGAACGTTGGAAATTGTTTGAAAGAGTAGCACACTTTAAAAGATTAAATCTTATAATAATAATAAATAAAATAAATATAAAACGTTGAATTCTACCGTTGTAAGTTACTTTAATTCATTTACTTAAACGTAAATACAAGATTATACTTAACAACATTGAAAATAAATCAAGTGCAGAAGGTTAAATCAGATATTTAAGGAGAGAGGAAAATCAGATATTTCTTGAATTTTTCAAGTTTTTTCTGTGATTTTATGATTCGAACTACTGTGCTTCTTATCTTTTTGCAGTTACGAATAATTTAAAACCAAATAATATGAAAAATACTGTAGTACCTAAAATAAAAAACGATATTGATTGAGACAAAAATGTTTAATCTTCTTGTTATTCTTCGAGAATACCAATTCCTTTAACATTTCTATTTCCAATAAAGTCTGAAATATTCTTGATCGATTGGAGGAATAAAGTGGAAAAGTTCTTCCATGGTCTTTTTCTTTTTATGGTTGGCAGGCGCAGAGTTTTCATATAATAGTAATAAGTCAACATTCTTGAAATTTCAGAGCAAACCTTTTAGTTCAGAAGCAAGTTAATGACGTCGAAAAGCAAATCTACAGCCTTTTGTTATATGTTATATAATATTGTAATTTTGTAATTTTTTCAAAATATAAACAGTATACGTATGCAATCAGATCACCAGAATATTGTTAGCATTTTTATTTTTACGCGTTAGAATTTTTGCATGCTAGACAATATTTCTCTTACAATTAATAAACAGTAAATTATTCTCCAAATTTGCATTTACTTATTGTTATCTACTAATTTTTTGTTATCTTAATATGTAGGTTTATATAGTTAATTGTAATTATAATTATGTCACATTTATATTATATTGCCTTCCAAAATTATTAGTTTATGTTAAAAATCAAAGAAATATTTTTCAAACTTCAAGAAGTAGAAAGTAGATTTGTATAGAAAAAATTTGATTCTGCTATTATTGGAAAAAAAGTAATTTTATTTCTTAGAGGGTTCTATGTTTCACTGACATAATTATTAATTATTGGATTTGATGGAAAATGATATTGGTTCTATTGAATGCATAAATGGACCAATTCAATGTAGCATCGTTGTTTCATTTAATCAGGAATATAATGTTTGTTCTTGATTATGATTTTGTTCCCTTATATAATTATTTGCATAAAATGATAACGCCACAGTAAATCGACTTGGTCAAACATTCGCGTAGCAAACATAACTTTCTCATCAACTATGTAATCATTCGATAACTAACAAGAAAAGTCTATCAATATGAAAATTGTTGTTTCAACGAAACTTTATGAAATTATAAAGTATGTCGTGATTTTAAATTTCTACAATTTTCATTGTTTTGAATATACCAGATATATTTCATACGTATTCATAACCAGACACAAAACAATTTTAATGGCCATATGATGCAGACTCGTATTATTCATCCTTCTACGTTCTTCTTAATTCATTAATTCAAAATCATTATTTTCAACAGTGTAGCTATCGTATTAATTCCATATAATTTAATAAATATGATAATTGGCAAATTCTTAATTTCCTCTTGCGAATAATTATATTCCACTATATCTCCATCCATTTCTTTGCATAGGTAGGTCACTTTACCTGGTTGATAATTCTATCTTCTGTGTTTAATAAGTAATTAATCATAGCTGTTAGTTCGAGCATATAAGCTTATTCTCTCGTCCTACATTAAACTCTTATTCAACTTTTCAGGTAAACTGTATTTTATTCAGTAAAGATATTATAATTTGATATAGTGATATATCCATTCAACCATACCAATTATTTAATCCCTTGATTTATGATTTCCTTCATAATTGCATTCGCTATAATAACATTTTCATTAATAATTTATCTAAAAATGAATAAGAATTCTCAACTCCTGTATGTCCACCTTTGTTTCAGAACTTAATAATTAATAATAGAAAAATAGTATTTAATTTGAACCCAAAATAATTGAGTGGCCTGTAATTCTCTTGATCTCCATTTGAAAACTTTTCCACGAGTCTGACTCGGTATTGCAAGGCAAGAGGTTAAGTACCATAAATGTTTATTCTATTTAACGAATAGAAGTTATGAAATAATTCTTATTAATAGTAATTAAGACACATTCCATTTGTACGCCGAATAAATATTACTTCGTATTTAAACATACGTTACCATTTAATTACCTTACTAAATTTGATTACTCAATTTATCAGATCTATTGCACCCCACTTTTTGTATGTCTCAAAACTTATATTCTATTAAGAAGAATATAGAACTGTTTATCCATTTATCAAATCACAGAAAACATATACCACAATAAAAATTTGGTTTTATCATTGACAATTTTACCAGAGTCCAACCAAAGTAAAAATCTCGTCGAATTGTAGAAAACTCCGCATTATGTCAACTTTCAAACGATCTCATCTCTTATAAATACATAAAATCTGCTGTCTCATTGCAACAATTATGATGGAATTTATACGCTTTTCCACTTGCCTAACAAGCTACTGTCTCTATCCTATTCCTCGCAGGTAGACAACTTTTTTAATGAAAAAAAACCCAAGATATGAAGGTCCTTTCATCCAAAAGGACTTATCTGCCAACGGTCCAACAGTTCATTTCGCAAGATAAAGTTTTATGAACGGCTACATTGAACATTATTTGCAGAAATACTACGCTTCTTGAACTGAAGGTTAAAAGCGGGAATAATCCAGGGCATTGTAATTGAAGCTAATCAAAGAAAAGGCTATTCGCATTGACTCCGAGTTAATGGGACCACGCTGTGCCAAAGTTTGCTTTAGAGCGCGTGTAACCAGGTGTCGCATAAGCGGGAGCGGTAAAACCGAATTAATGTAACGAAATTTCTAATATGCGTACCGAGGCTGGCTAACTGGGTACCCTAAAATTGCGTTTTAGGTGCCCGCTTGGCTCAGAGCCATGAATTCCTGGTAGACCATCGGACGCATTTTGGTAAATTGATGGTAATTACGCAATTGATATTTACACTGATATTATAGATTTAAATTTAGACACATGTACGTATTACAAACGAGATATGATCATTTTAAGCCAGAATGGAATTTTTATAATATACGGATATTAATATATAAATGTTATAATATATAGATGTGTAATACATGGATATTAGAACTTAGGAAATATTCGTAAATGATATTACAATATTTATTATAATAATGTTATAGATTACAATTTCTAAATTTTGAAAATTGCCCTTTGTATCTTTCAATGTTATAGTCTCATTTATCTTTTGGAGAAATGAAAGTTACTATTATAATAATAATATTAAAATAATATAGAAGATGTATTAATTATAAAAATGAATTTAAAAATTATACAAAAATATATTTGAAACTATATTCACAAAGAAACAATTGTAATCTATATATGAAGGGGCGCAAGAATTAACCATATTTTGAAAATGTATTGTGCGAAGCAACAAACCAATGAACAAAATTTTTAACGGCAATACTCTTGTATCGCCTATTTATTTTTTGAAATGAATGTACTTTACAAAACTATCTGTATAATAATCGTATATTTTAAGATATTCATATTTTACATTTTGTAATCTCGTAAACATTACTCACCGCTTGAGTAATAATTTCTTTTGTCTACGCAATATTTAAAAAGGAAATGAAATATTTATATATGATAAGAATCAAAGATATTCGAAACTTTATATAAAAATACATGCAGTAATTTTATAGATTGCAAAATGTACGATAAATAATCTCTCGAACACGATGTTTCTTGTTATATATTTTATATAGTTTTGAGGCAGGAGATTTTTAAATATTTGATTTATTTGGATGTCTTCATTAACAATGAAAGTTTATGTTATCGGTAAGATTTATGCGAATAGTGTGACTGAGTAATTATACGAACATTATTACAGTCTTGCGAATGTATATACACTGCTGTTAACTTCGTTCAAAGTTCTGTCCTGATTATGACAATGTTTTGAACGGAGAACTTACGTGAATACAGGTACTTCCGGCTTGGCCTGTGGCAACAATTAATGGCGTTAGAAGTCTATTCTCGCTCATTAACGATCGTCCTGTCATGTGCAAGCACTGAAACTTTGAAGCTTCTGCTAGGTTTGTGATATTTTGTTGAATTTCTGATCATTTAGTAATGATATTGCAAAATATAAGTACCTACTACTAAGAGTGCGAACACTTTAATTCAATTAGTGTTCTTACTAATAGTCAGTCAGAATGTGTTACCACAAAGTGTCACATCGTTTCAGTATTGTAAAATAACGTAGCATGTAATTCAATGATTTCACTTGATCAAAATGACCATGTAATTCGTAATTTTATATGAAAATTGGCTCACCTCACTGTTTTGGGCTTTACTAGTTTAATTCAGTATATTTTATTTAATTCAACACATGTATTATTTTTCTAAACTGATATAATGCACATATTTTCATATGTCATGTAGTAATTAGATTAATTACTATCGCAAGATCTTTTTCTGTTTTAAGGACACAATGCTTTTTTAAAGATAAGCACTACTATAACGGATCTGATGCTTTTAGTAAC